AGCAAATGCAACTTTTAATGCTTTAGTGCCAAAAAAGGAGGCCAAAACCCCCAAGGATTACAGACTAATAAGTCTAGTGGGTAGCTTGTAGAAAATCATTGCTAAAGTCCTGGCTGGTAGGTTGAAGACTGTACTGCCCTATGTTATCTCTCAGAACCAAAGAGCTTTTGTAGAAGGGAGACAAATTGTGGATCAAATCTTGGTGGCAAATGAGTGCATGGCAGCTAAGAGAAAACAAGGTGGCAAAGGTTTGATTTGTAAATTGGACCTTGAAAAAGATTATGATATGGTGGATTGGTCCTTCCTATTGAATTTAATGGAAAAAATTGTACTAGGTGAAAGGTGGAGGATGTGGATTAAAGAATGTATTAGCTCAACACACTTTTCTATTATGATGAATGGGGTAGCAAAGGATTTCTTCCAGGCTAAAAGAGAACTAAGACAGGGTGATCATTATCCCCATTCTTATTCACCTTTGTGGTTGGGGTTTTGAGTAGACAAATCACCAAAGCTGATCAAGAAAACCAGTTTAAAGGTTGGAGGATGGGTAGATCAGAAGTGGTGGTGTCTCAACTGCAATTTGCTGATGATATAATCATTTTCTGTGAAAGTTGTGATGAATCCAGTTTAAGGAATCTGAAAAGATTGGTGAATGAATTTCAACAGGCCTCCAAATTGAAAGTTAGTTGGAGAAAAAGTTGTGTAACTGGAATCAACATTGAAGGGGGTGACATCCAAACCATGGCAAATCTGCTAGGTTGTGAAATGAAAAATTGGCCTCTAGAATACTTACGTATGCCCTTGGGTGGGAATCTGAAAGCTGAAAGTTTCTAGAAACCGGTGGTAGAGAGGTTCATGAAGAAGTTGGCAATGTGGAAGAGAAATTATATATCCTTGGGGGGAAGAACCACCTTGATTTTATATCCTTGGGGGGAAGAACCACCTTGATAAAATCAACCCTAGCAAACCTACCCACTTATTTCCTCTCCACCTTTAAGATCCCGGTGAAAATAGCTAGGAAGTTGGAGAAGATTATGAGAGACTTTTTGTGGGAACCAGGTAATGAAAAGAAAGATCATTTAGTGAAGTGGGAGCAAGTTTGTTACCCTAAGGAACAGGGTGGATTAGGTATAGGGAACCTAGTAAAGAAAAACAAGGCCCTTCTAGGGAAATGGCTGTGGAGATTCCCTTGTGAAGAAGAAAGGTTGTGGCACAGGGTCATTAAAAGTTTACATGGTGATTCATCAAAAAAAAAGCTTACATGGTGAGGCAGATAATGGCTGGGATGCAAAATTAGCCCCCAATGCAGCTCCATCCTCTCCCTAGAAGGCAATCCTTGAGGTATATCCAACCTTTCTTCAATTTATCAGGTTTGATGTTGGTTGTGGCAACAAAGTTTTATTCTGAGAAGACCTTTGGGTTGGGGATGTGCCTCTTATGATCAAATTCCCAGACCTCTACTCTTTATCAAACCATAAAAACAAACCTGTTGCTAGGCTTGGTGTGCTTTCAGAATCGGGGATCTCTTGGGCTTTTGGTTTTAGAAGAGGGTTGAGGGAAAATGAGTGAGCCTCTAGTGCTGTTGATTTCAACACTTGAGAGGGTCTACTTGGACCAATCTATAGCTGATTGTAGAGTTTGGTCCCCAACTTCTGATGGTTTGTTTTCATGTGCATCTTTCTTTGGTTTGCTCACTTATATTGATCCTATGGGGGTGAACTTCCCAGTGAGAGAAATCAGGTCTAAACCGATCCCTCCAAAAGTACAAGCTTTCTGTTGGGAAGTGTTCCTAGGGAAGATAAACACTTGTGATGTGCTATAGAAAAGGAGGTCAAACAATTGCCTCTCTCCTCATGTGTGTGTCCTTTGTTTGGGATGTGGTGAAACCCTAACCCACTTACTATTATCCTGCTCTTTTGCTTCTGGTATTTGGAATGGTGTTTGTTCTCTCTTTGGATGCAGATGGGCTCCCCCACAGGATGTGGTAAGTCTATTCAGCCCCTCTTTCCTATGTCAACAAAAGAAAAGAGGAAAGTGTGTATGGAAGGCAATAAGAGCAGCTACAGTATGGACTATATGGGAGGAAAGAAACCTATGAATCTTTTCAGGAAAAAGCAAAACAAAGGAGGAAGTTATTGAAGCCATAAAAATCAAAACTGCACATTGGGTGAAGACCATGGAGATATTCAAAAACTACTCCACGAATGAGACACTAAGAAATTGGGCTGAAGTAGCACAAACAAATGTACCCAAAGTACTTGTAAGCATGGAATGGAAGCCACCAGCACTGAACAACCTAAAACTGAACTTTGATGGGAGTTCTCCTGGCAACCCAGGAAGGGCAGGCATTGGGGGTGTGTTAGAAATCATCTGGGTGTGGTGATGGCACTCTACTCAGGACCATTAAGTTTTGGTGACTCAATACAAGCTGAATCTCTAGCCCTACTTCAAGGTTTAAAGATGGCTGAGCAGATAGGAACAACAGGCTTAGAAATAGAAGGAGACTCACTATTGGTTATCTCTTGGGCCAAAAACATCACATCAGTACCTTGGAAGCTCAAATTTATCTTCAGAGATATTGATACACTTGCAAGGAAGTTCAACTCTCAGTTTGGTTGGGTCAAACGGGATGCAAATGGGATGGCAGATACCCTAGCAAAACAAGGGGCAAATAGATCTTCATTGTATTGGGCAGAATTGTAACTAATTGTTGGAGATTGCAGTTTATTCCTCTGCAATCTTTATCTATTGTAACTTAATTTCTCTGTTATTAATGAAAGTTTTTTGCTGATCAAAAAAAAAAAACAATGATGGTTATACCCACTAGTAGTGGGACTTGATAGAGACAAAGGACCAATATAGCAGAACATCCCAAAACTGCTATAACCATCCTCCCAAAACCTCAATCTAGAGCTATCACTGAGTTTGAAACCAACAAGTGCAGCAAAATCATTGCAGTCCTTACACCATGATACTTCCCAAAAACTAATACCATAAGTAGAAGATAGTGGTCTAGAAACCCAACCATGAATAGATTCATCAAATTTAGTTGCAATAATCTTCCTTCAAAAGCCAAATTCCTCTCTAGGAAATCTCCATAACCATTTTCCATGGAGACATTATTCACAAAAGCCATTTTCCTAAAGCCTAGAGGCCCTAGACCAAGGATTAAAGTATCGGTATCGGGTATCGCATCAGACAAAAAATATGGAAATGTTTGGATACGCTAAGAAAATGCATACAAATTCAATAATTATATTAATAACTTCAAGTTTAATGTCAAAATAACTATAAATAATGTATAAATACATAAGAATTGTATATTTTAATGATATATTTGAAGAAATATATTACTATTAATATAACGGGATGCATATATATTATACAATTTTATTGATAATGCATCAATTTATATTTTTATTAAAATCCAAAGCAAGAAACATATGCAACTATTCTATTTCAATTATTTTTATTTTACTATTTTCAATTTTTAACATCAACAAAAAAATCAACTAAAAATTAATTTGCAAATGTTCAGTAAATAATACTTTCATTTTTGTAAACAATAAATATGTTTATATAAAATGTAAATGAAAATATCAATTAATAATTTACAAAAATATATAATCTTAACTTAAAATATATCAAATCTATTAAAATTTTGAAGACGCATATCATATGAAAATTCATATATTTTAACTACTAAAGTAATTATTCCATTATTAATATTTTTATTTTTATGAACTTTTTTAAAACAAAAAAGAAAAATTTTTTATATAAATGTAGATTAGTGGATTTGATAGATTCAATCTATATTATATTCTCAAATATTTTGTAAACAATATTTTATCTTTGTAAATAATAAATACATTGTTATTTAATACAAATTAAAATATTAATTAATAATTTATAAAATAATTATTATAATTTATCAAGTCTACATAACTAATTTTAAGTAATAAAGTATTTATTCTATTAATAATATTTTTATTTGTATAAATTTATTGAAATTAAAAATCCTTGGAAAGTATTAAAGTAATACTTACATTTATTTGTATATATATATATATATATATATTTGTATAAAGTATTAAAGTATTTTATTGGTTTATAAAATAATAATTTTGAATATTATTCTTTTTTATTTGTACTTGGAGTTATTGAATATATTACTTGTTTAGATTAAATGTAAGCATTAATGTTAATAAAGGAATAATTTATTTCAGTTGTTATCACGAAATAGAAGGTGGCTTGATGGTGAAGGTCTTTGCACTCTTGGACGCTAGGCGACTCGGGTTTCAGGGATCGAATCATGTTAACTGGTTTTTTCTAATGAAGTAATTTACTATTAAATGCGGGTTCGACCGATACAATGCGATACGTGTCGATACGGTGGCATATCGGACCGATATGCATGACTGGTACGATACAGTGCCAGTCACGGCGTATCTCATATCCTCCCCTACCGATACCGATACGATACGCCCCGTATCGGGCGTACGTGTTGATATTTTAATCCTTGCCCTAGACCATAAAATATATTAGACAGAAAACCACTTTCATTTCACCAAGGGGATAAATAAAGTTAAACAGAATGACAATTCGATGATAACAGTTCTAATGGGAAGATTGACAAGATGATGTCAACGAAACATTGCCCTATATGATATGAACAAAATGTTGATATTCTGTCTGGAACCAAGATTTTTATTTGATTTTAGAATAAACAGTTCAGTGTTCACTTGTAACAAGTTTTTCTTTTTCTTGTTTTTCACTTTTCCCAGAAAATTACAACTCGAAAAAAATATAACAAATTAATTGATTGATGCACTATAAGTGTTTTTCTTTTTCCTATTCTTCCCAGAAGATTGCCCATTCATAAGAATGTAACAAACCACATGAATGGTGTATTGCATTTTATCTTATGTCAATATATCATTCCCACAGAATTTGAGACAATTAAAACTTCTAACGAAAATCAACAGAATAGCCAGACATACCAAACGTTTTCGAGCCCCTTTTGTGGTATCTTCAGCATTGGTTTCCACAATAACCTTAAGGTATTGAAAAGCTGATGGAAGGCAAGATATGCATGTTATTTTATGAACTCATCTTGGGAATAGGTGAGACCTATGAGAAATATTGCTTGCCTGGAATTCCAGAAAGTGAAGTAAGATGAACCTTGAGAAGCCGTATTGCTTCCTTGGCATCATGCTCATGCAAATCAATCGACAAATCTGATCGAGTCTCCTCAGGTCTGAGAATAAACTCAAACATAGAATGTAAATATATCTGCTAGAATTTTATATCAAAGAAATAAAAAATAAATTGAAGGGCCCAACATGCTCGAACCTGGATTCAAGTATCTTTTGAGAAGACTTTTCATCTGCTTCTCTGGCCTTGCTGTAGTAAAATTGTCCCTAAACATCACACTCATGAGTCATGACAAAGAAGTATATAAAACTATGTAATAGTGGGCAATCAATTATATATAAATGTTAAGTGTCAGAAACAGCTTCGGATGCAGATTACCAGGAATTAACATCAAGCGTTACAACAATGCAGAAAGCTAACTGCTAACAGATTTCAATTAAGCAGAGAGCAATCAAGTATACAGAGGAATCAGGTAAAGGGATGTGTATGAAGAGTTAATTTCATGAGAAAACAGATTAGGAAATTTGCAGATAATTTGATAGATATATAATGTCAACTTATACTTTACCCTTTACTTGCAAGTCCAAAAAGTTAAATTTGTTTTTGTAATCATTCATGGAGAGAGAGAGAAAGAGAAGAAGAGGAAGATATGATTGAGAGAAAAAGAAAACCTACTTCTGGCCGCCGCCAGTTCACTATTTATATTAACTTAATATAAAAAGAATGAAAATTACAAGTATGCCCCTGGCGGCACTCCTTAGAAACAAACTAATAAGAAAGAAAGAAAATAACTAATTGACAGCATCTTAAGAGGACAACCCACTAACAGCAATTATAAAATAACAATTAAATAATCCTCACAACACTCCCCCTCAAGTTGGGCTGAATATGTCTATCATGCCCAGCTTGTCACATAACTCATTGTATCGCGAGTATGGAAGCCCTTTTGTGAGGACATCAGCGAGTTGTTCCTTGGAGTTGACATAAGGGATGCAGATTTCTCTTTTTTCCAATTTTTCCCTTATGAAATGTTTATCCACCTCAATGTGCTTGGTCCTCTCATGTAGGACAGGATTGTTGGCGATGTTTATGGCTGCCTTGTTGTCATAGTAAAGAGACATAGGATTATGAGCAACAACTCCAAGCTCCCTTAGAAGATTCTTTAGCCAAAGGACTTCAGCCACCCCATGTGCCATAACTCTATATTCAGCTTCAGCACTTGACCTTGCTACCACACTTTGTTTCTTGTTTTTCCAGGTCACTAGGTTTCCTCCCACAAATGTGCAATACCCACTC